TTTAAATCAGAATTACAATCAAAATCTGAATTATTTTCGATATACAAAAAAAAATTGAATTTTTTTTTCTCCAAAAGCAATTATTTTGTTAAAACAAGCAGAAAGTTCTTTGCATCATTCAAATCGGACCTTAGTTCCCTCGAAAACTACCATTTTTTGCACATTTAGCTCTGTATCTCCGAAACCGCTGGACCTGCCTTTGCCAAAAACTAACCACCGCTTCTCCCCGTCATTACGAATCGAATTTTTTTGTATCATTGGATCGATTCACTAATTGTATGTTTTCTCGACGTTTCAAGCCATTCTGAATCGAATGAGACCAAATTTGAAAAAGTATTTGTGCGCGTGTGCGTGAACAGATTTTTTGCCGTAAATCGACGTTTGCTCAAAAATTTAAAAGCCATTCGATGTCTCGATGAGGACTAGCGTTCATCAATTTTGTGCGACGATCGGTCTAACCGATCATCACCGATTTTCATGATTTTTTTTTGGTGATAGATATCATGGTCATCTAGATCATACTAAAATATTAAGGCCCTACGACAAGCCGTTTAATTTTGAAAATTCGTCAAAGTTTGGAAAGATTAGTATTGTTACTTTGGCGTTTGATAAAATTAGAACTTTCATCGACGCTTGCTCAAAAACGCCTGAACCGATTTCAGAAGTTTAAAAGCCATTTGATGTATCTCGATGAGAATCATTTGTTGTCAATTTCTTTGTAATTTGAAAAAAAGTGTTAAACTTTTCGTCCACATTTAAGCTCATACTTCCGAATCGATATTAAAAAATCAAAAAAAGATATTAGTTGGGAATGATACTAATTAGTTTTAAGTGAAAATCTACCGAGCTTGTTTTCTTGTAATTAACTGTTGAAAAAAAAATTTAAGCCGATTTTTATGGAACTTTTTTGGCGATATTTATCATGGTCTTATAGAACTTACTGAAATATTAATGCCTTAGGGGGCATGCCTTAATCACGCGAGCGAGTTTTTAAGGATTTTTGGACCCCCTAACCCTTGGTGATACATGGTGATATTCAAAATTACCCCCCCTCCCCCACCAAACATCACGTGTATTTTTAGTTATGTGAAAAAACTGTAAAATTTGTGAATGGAGCTTTTTTTTGAAAATGTTTGATTTTTAAAAAAAGAAACAGTTAAAAAATAAATACACGTGATATCTTACTATACCCCTCCCTCCCCCACGTGATATTTCGTGATTTTTTGTCAAATCCCCCTCGCCCTAAAAACCTCACGTGGTTAATGGACGCTGCTCCCTACGACAAGTAGTTTAATTAACTTTCCGTAGGGTAAGTTATTGTAATCGCCCAAAAATCGAAATTGAAAATTTTTACATTTCTTCACGTTTTGAAGATTTCTGAACATTTTGGCATACCTCAGAAAAAATGGGTGTGTGTGTGTATGTATGTATGGATACAATTTTTCGTCCACGTTTTCGGGCGCACGGATCAACCTATTTGAATGGTTCAAAAAACATTCAATTTTTATTGATAGGAAGATGTGCTCATTAGTTTTTGGCAAAGGCAGGTCCAGCCGTTTCGGCGATACGGAGCAGAGAATGCAGAAAATAGAAATCGAGTTTTTGAGAAATCGTAGCAGCGGATTTGAATGATCCGAAAAACATTCAATTCGTAATGACGGGGAGAAGTGGTGATCAGTTTTTGGCAAAGGCAGGTTCAGCGGTTTTGGATATACAGAACTAAATGAGCAAAAAATGGCAGTTTTTGAGAGAACTAAGCGTCCGATTTGAGTGATTCAAAGACCTTTCTGCTTGTTTTAACAAAATACACCTAAGTCTGTTTTTACACGGTCTTTTTGTACACGGTTTTGATATAACACAGTTTGAAAATTGAATATTCTTAATTTTTTTACACGAATTTATTCCATTAGCACGATTTGAAATTTTATGTACCTAAATTTTTTTTGTCAAATTAAATTTTTGCGAAGTATGTTCATATCACAAAAAGTATTTATGAAAGAAAAAAGTCTGAATCCATCGATAGTATCGATAGTTTGCGAACACTAGCTTAAAGATTTAGGTGAATTCCCCTTTAGCGCGTACAAACAATTTTTACTGGTCAAAGCAAATGTGAATAGCACTAATTTAATTCTTGTTCTTAAAAATTCTTGTTTTTCACCAATTTTAATAAGTTTTAGAGTTTAGGAACAAATCACCCATTTTTGTATAAGATCAATGTCTTTTTTTAGACGTTTTTTTTTACACGGATTCTTCTGGAACCAATCTCCGTGTAAAAACAGACTTAGGTGTAATTGCTTTTGGAAAAAAAGATTTTTCAAAAAAAAAAAAATTATTTGTATATTGAAAATAATTAAGATTTAAACTGTAATTCTGACTTAAATTCTAATATACTTTAAACAAATATTTTCAACTTTGCAATTCAGTTTATATAATTCTTATAACTATAGACAATGATACAATGTCTATTTTAGTGCAGTAAACGGAGCGTTTTAGGTCTGAATTTTTTTACTGTGCTTCGAATTGAATGAAATTTTGGAATTAGGTTCATCTTACCCCCAAGTTCAAAAGTGAAAACAATTCGGGTTGCGCCATCACCCCCCGGGGGGATGACACCCCTTCTCAATTGTGTAATCACATTTTTTCAAAATAACGTCGGCAATCGATAGAATAATTAATTATAAGAAAAAAATATCTTTTATAGTTTTTCAAAAAAACTAATACTTTTCAAGTTACTGGCCACTAAAAATTCATATAATTTTGGCGTTTTTCTTCGTTTTTTGCACCGAATTTCATAAGATGTAAAACCTCGACACTAGATGGCTTTAAATACAACAATTAAATCTTGAACGAAATAAAAAACGACTTTGCTCTTTCAAATCTTGCTTAATATTTTTCCTAGAACACTTTATGTAATACCGATTTATCAAGATTTATTTATTGACATTATTTTGTTCATTACATAATTTTCGTTAAAATGTATATTTTAGGAGATATTTGCAAAAACGAAGAAAAACGCCAAAATATATGAATTTTTAGTGGCCAGTAACTTGAAAAGTATTAGTTTTTTGAAAAACTATAAAAGACATTTTTTTCTTATAATTATTCTATCGATTGCCGACGTTATTTTGAAAAAATGTGATTACACAATTGAGAAGGGGTGTCATCCCCCCGGGGGTGATGACGCAACCCGCATTGTTTTCACTTTTGAACTTGGGGGTAAGATGAACCTAATTCCAAAATTTCATTCAATTCGGAGCACAGTAAAAAAATTCAGAGGTTACACCCTTTTTTCCTCTCCGTTTACTGCACTATTTATAACTAGCTGAACCAACAGATTAACCGTACTTTGCATTTGAACAATTGAATATTCACACAAATTCCAAACTACAGGCTAAAACGTAAAAGAAACGAAAACATTTTATTTGGATAAAAGATGCAGAACAAAATTACGAATAAAATGATATATAAATCGTTAAGTGTGTTCATATAATTTTTTCGAGATTTTTCAGTTTTTATTAATTTAATTTTACTGCAACTCGCCTTTAGGCCACACCGTTAGGAATTCGAAGTTGCAAGATAAGGAAAAAGATCTAAGAATTTTGGGACCTTTCTAATGATGTATAATACTTTATGTTTTCTTTAGAGAAATATCGAATAGTGTGAACTGTAAACTAATGAATATTTACACTATTCGATATTTCCCTAACTGTAAACTAATGAATATTTATATGGTTCCAAATAGATAAAAAACATTCTTTGAAAGTTTTAGCGTTTAATATTAAAGTTTAGATAGAGCGCAATTCAATCAAAGTTTTGTATGGAAATAGCATGGGAAAATTTTCAAAAATTTTAAAAATGTTTTTTAAATGTAATTTAGCGAACAAATGAATGAATAAAACTTATTCATTTGTCGCTAAGTTATACCTAAAACATTTTTTTTAAATTTTCAAAATTTTTTCATGCTCTTTCCATACGAAATTTGATTGAATTGCCCTCTATCTGAACTTAGCGATATTAAGAGCTAAAACTTTCAGAGAATTGTTTATCTATTTGGAACCATTTGAGCCCCTGGGAGCATGAAAATTCGAAAATGACCATTTTAAGCAGGGGTGGGCAAATACTTTAAAGCGCGGGCCAAAATGAAATTTTCAAAATGTGTCCCGGGCCGAAGGTTTTGGATGGAAATAATATATCGTGTTCTGGTTGTAACTCTTTTTCTTTGTCACGAATTCATTTGTAAGCCTACATTTTTCCCTATTAAACTATGACATCCATCCGTAATGACGCTTACTATTTTATTCCAAGTTAAACTTACTTTAACTAAACTCTCTTCAACAGCGAGAAAGAAGTCTTCACCAGTAGTTGTATACCTTTCATTGGATGCACACTAAGAAGTTTCTCGCAATTTCGTTCCTCCGAATTTCACATTTCTTGTTAATGCCATGAATAAATATTAATAATTGGATTGTATCAGTATTATCGCAAGACTCATCTAAAGCCAGAGAACAATAGGCAAAATTAGCAATTTTTGTAGTTAGCTGGTCAAGTAAGTTTCCTGAACTATTTTCAATCCGTCGTACTATTGTTCTTCTCGAAAGGCTTACATTTTCAAAAATATGTTTCTCTTCAGAACAACAGATCTCCGGCGCTTGTCCCATACATTGTTTAACAAATTCTGTTTCAGAAAACGGTTTACAGAACCATTGAACCACAGAAGCCTACCGCCCATTTTATTACGACTATTATAAATACAGTACGCACACTAATAATGTTGATGTCAACAAAATTTCATAAAAGCGTTTAAAAAACTTGCGGAATTTTTCAACGGGCCGGATAAAATAATCAAAAGGGCCGGATCCGGCCCGCGGGCCGGCTTTTGCCCACCCCTGATTTTAAGGATCACCCCAATATATATATATATATATATATATATATATATATAAATATACATAATTGTATATACATACAAATGTACAAATATGAAAAATATATAAACTTACTGCATTTCATCCATCATCTTATTCATCAACTGAAAATGATCTTCATCGTCAAGGACAAACCAAAACTTTGTCGGATCATAAATTTCAGTAATAATAATTCTCATTAGACAACCACATGAGAATTTGCATTTATTCCATATACTTTCAATTACATCGCCAGGACCCATCATTCCTGATAATGTCTCTTCGGAGTTACAGATTTCCTGAAATGAATGAAAGATAATAAATAATAAGCAGTTAAGAAAATTATTAGCATTAAACTACAATATATTAATAAATTATGTTATTTACAGAGGTTGTAACAAAGTAATAACTCCAGAGTGAGTGACCCATCCCTATTACGAAGTAAACAGTTATAAAACAAAATTAATACAAATTTTCATAGTTTTTAAAATTTTACATGTGTAAAATGAATCTAACTAGTTGTAAGTGGCATTTTGCCTTAAAAATGTTACATAACCTCCTGATATGTGTAAATCAACTGAATCAATAATAAATAAATGAAATTATGAGTATTCCGAGTGGATTTATTACACATTATTAGTGTGTAACCCTGAATATTTCAGAAAGCAAATTTTCAAAATTCGATCAATTATTATAATTGAACCAGTATCCGTAGGACTATAATGTTTTAGTATGTTCAATAAGCCCAGGTACTCTAACATCATAACAATGCTGCAGTAAATGGAAAGGAAAAAAGAGTGTAACCCAGCGGTTTCCAACCTTTTTTGCATCGCGCCCCCCTGCGAATATAAAAAAAATTGCTGCGCCCCCCCCTTATTTTTTTAACTGTTTAATTTAATAAATACTCAACTGATATTATCAGACTACAAATTAATATGCAATATTATGTAAAAATATTCATAAAAACTAAATATTTTTTGTTTATTTTTTAATAACGTTCCATAAATGTTGGGTTATTTTCGATAATAGTATTCTGGAAACAGTTGTACGCGCCCCCCTTAGGGCAGCCTGGCGCCCCACTGAGGGGGCGCGCCCCCAGGTTGGAAACCGCTGGTGTAACCTTTGAATTTTTGTACCGTACTTAGCGTTAGAACAAATATCGAGTACTGAGTAAATATCGATACTTTGCGGTCGATAGTAAGTACTTTTGCTATCGATTTTTTAGCTCGATCTATTTTCCAATATCGATTCTTTTCGTCGATAGTACTCAAAAAGAATCGACAGCGTAATCTATGAACACCACTCACCGACCAACTATGAACACCACGCATTGCAAATGCAATACAATAGTCTCTCTAGGTCTAGGTGGTCGTAACTGTTCAAAGAATTGTCCAAAAACCATCCCTCAGGGTCATCAGTCTCAAAAACCCAAAATGAATATGACCACACTAATAAATAAAAATGTTTATTTATTATTCTTAGGTAAAATGAAACGGATTTTAAAATACCTTAAATGTTTTATAAAAACATATTCAACAAATAAAGTATGATTATTTTGCGTTTACTATATTTTGATTCTTTTTTACGCAAAATACTAATACAGTAGAATCCGCTTAGTATGACATTCAAGGGACGGCGAAAAATCGTCATACTAAGCGGTCGTCATACTAAGCGTACTGAAAAAAAAAAAAAAACGATTTTTGGGGAATATGTTATTAATTTCAGTAATTTAATACAAAAATTACGGTAAAAAATGACACATACTAACAAATTGACAAATTTAATTAAAAATATGACATAACAATGCATTTTTTAATGTAAGAAATCTGTAATTTTCGTTTGAATTTTTAATTACTGGGTAAAAATAGTAAAAAATATAGAACTTTACTAATTCAGTAAATTATAGAAGATGTTATCGCTTCCAAATTTCGAACACCAAGAATGAGTCTACTTATTTTTTGCACGAGGCACGATGCCGGAAGTTGCCAAAGTTTTCATAGCGCGAATCTCGTGCAACATAGAGACCTGAAGGTATGTAGCGACCTGACACACAAGGGTTTGCAATGAAAAACATGAACTCTATGTTATCGGAGGTGTAAAATCATGTCGGTCATTATACCTGGACCAATTTTTTTTTCAAAAATGGGTCATTATAAGCGAAATGTCAATGTAAGCGAGGTCAACATATCCGACTAGACAGCTGTTTTTTTAAGAAATTTTATATGGAAACCAAACTGCCTTTAAAATTACGTCATTATAAGCGGTTGTCAATATATCCGGCGTCATACTAATCGGATTCTACTGTACATAGAAATTGATGAATATTATTATGTGAAATAATTATATTTCGATTCTTTTTTATGCAAAATACTAATATATAGAAATTGATGAATATTATTATTTGATATAATTATATTTCGATTCTTTTTTACGCAAAATACTAATACATAGAAATTGATGAATATTATTATTTGAAATAATTATATTTCGATTCTTTTTTACGCAAAATACTAATATATAGAAATTGATGAATATTATTATTTGAAATAATTATATTTCGATTCTTTTTTACGCAAAATACTAATACATAGAAATTGATGAATATTATTATTTGAAATAATTATATTTCGATTCTTTTTTACGCAAAATACTAATACGATATATATATATAGAAATTGATGAATATTATTATTGATGTATATAGAAATTGATGAATATTATTATTTGAAATAATTATATTTCGATTCTTTTTTACGCAAAATACTAATACGATATATATATATATATATATAGACATTGATGAATATTATTATTGATGTATATAGAAATTGATGAATATTATTATTTGAAATAATTATATTTCGATTCTTTTTTACGCAAAATACTAATATATAGAAATTGATAAATATTATTATTTGAAATAATTATATTTCGATTCTTTTTTAACGCAAAATATTCATGTTTTGAAATTTTTGAATTTCAATATGCAAACACATGGGTTTGAGTTTCTCGGAACCATTTAAACTTTTAATCCCATCGCTCCGAAGGATGTTTCTCTACAAGTGTCGAAGATAATATATCTTGACCGTCATTAAACTGAATGTTTATTGCTTTCCAAAGAGGTTTTTTAAAGTTGCTAAAATTAACATACACACACACGCATCCATTTTTTCTGAGGTATGCCAAAATGTTCAGAAACCTTCAAAACGTCGAGAAATGTAAAAATTTTCAATTCACATTTTTGGGCTATTACAATAACATACCCTACGGGAAGTTAACAATAAAATTACACTACTGAGAACGGGTGTCATCCCCCCCGGGGGTGGTCGCGAAATCAGAGCATAGTAAAAAAAATCAGACTCAAAATGCTCTATTGACTGGAGTACAAGTAAAACGTCCAATTTTAACAAACGTCAAAAAAGCGCTAATCATTTTTTAGAACTTTGAAATACTTGTCCTAGGGCCGTAATATTTTAGTATGTTCTATAAGATAATTATATATATATTCAAAAAAAGTTTCATAAAAATTAACGATTTTTTTCTCCAATAGTTAAATACAAGAAAAACGACCCTGTCGATCTTCACTAAAAACTAACCCTTTCAAACGGTTTTTGAATTTTTTAAATCGGTTCATAATTGTGGACGAAAATGTTTAAATTTTTTGCTGATTACAAAGAAATGGCTAGACCGATCGCGGCGCAAACCTGATAAACGCTAGCCTGATCGGGATACATCGAATTGCTTTTGAATTTTTGAAATCGGTTCTGCTGTTTCTAAGAAAAAGTCGAGGAAAAATCAAAAATCGGCTTACATACACGTGCGCACTAGGGTTGGTCGATTTTCAAAAACCGTTTTTTTTGCGAAAATTATGGAATTCGAAAACCGGTTTTTTAGTTAAATAAGTCGGTTTTCACTGTATAAATGGAAAATGACAAATATAGCCAAATATAAAAGATAGATGACGGCGTCTTGATTCTTGAAACCATATTGGTTCAATAGCATTTCATATCTTATCACTCTGCAATGGTTCCCAGAAAGGTTTTGTATATATTAATTTAGATTTTTATACCAGTGTATATATTAATTTAAATCAGTGTAACTTCTTCTTGAAGAAGTAACTTTCTCTACTCAATCTTAAAGAAAAAGAGTTTTAAACCCTAGAAGTCACAAATTAAAAAAACAAAAAACTTAGAATTATTATCAGGCTTTAAAAACAATTAATCATAATTTGGTTGCAAGTATGAGCGTATTTTCTATTTCAGAAAATTTTGTGAGTAATCAAAGGACATGTCTAAGTAGCAATTTGATAGACGTTCTCAGTTTTTTGAAATCATATTTTATTAAACAAAAAAACAATTAGAATGTTTAAAATTAATTAATTACAATTGTTCGGAACAGACAATACCCGAGGTTAGCTTAATTGTTTTTAAAAACTAATTGATATTAACAAGTATGTATTAAAAATGTATTATTTTTATTTATTCGAATACTTCTCTTCCACTATCATCATAAAATATTTTCATTCTTATATGTGGAACTGATGCATCAATAACGATAATTATTTTAAAAATTATTTAATTAAGATAAACTATTATTTTTTAGTTT